CAGCTCTTCTGAGATGCAAAAATAAACTCGGAGGAGGAGTTTGCCACCTGCAAATTGATAAGGTATGTGGAGAGGTGCTAAAGTGAAATGAACCTGAAATAACAAAAGAAGCCCCAGTTCTGCTGGGCTGCTATCCGTTTGCTCCAGTTCAACCCAGTCCACTGAGAGAGCGGAGAGGAACACAGGGATTGTCCGCTTGGGTCAGCGTTAATGAGGGAGATAAAGATAAGACATAATTTGAATCTCGCTGAAGGGAACAGCAAACTCCTTTCCTCACTCAGGAGGTAATGCAAGAAGTGCTTTCTAATTAACTTACTTGATAATTAACCTAGAATAGAAGTGCCTTCCTTTTAATATAGGGGGCAGCTGTAATTAGGAAAACCTCGAGGATAAAAATGCTGCACCGACATGTGGCCATGCAGCCCAACTGGCATCTACGGAGTGACCTGGGCTTTGGGCAAGGGCTGGGCTTGGCACAGCCTGGGCTTCCTGGCGCAAAACTCCCCCTGAAGCAGTGCTTTGAGATGCTTCATGCCTATAGGCTTTGGGAGGGTCTCTTGGCCTCCTGCCAAATGGGAGTGGGGGGTTCTCGAGTTATCCTTTATCTTTCAAGAGTAGGACAAAGGCTTCTTCTTGGGGGTCTGGCTCCAGTTCCTCTGCAGTCTCTAGAGCCTCCCTAAGTTTTCCCCATGGATAATGCATACCTGGAAGTTACCACAGCAATGATGGCAACACTGTAACCAGCCGTGCAAGAGACCCTCAGGGCAGAAGGGTCACACAACAACCCAAGAGCCACAAAGCTTTCCCTGTGGAGACCATAAGCACTAACATGCTGCAGGAAGAATCAGTGGCATGGCCAACAGCAGTCACAGAGAATTACTTAGGTGAAAGTGCCCAGATAACCTTAGAAGGTGGATAACAGCCTTGTGGTTAAAGTTTCCATTCTAGTGTTGCAAGAGCAACTAAGGGCTATAACTGAGACCAGGATCCCATCCAGACAGATATAGATACTCTGAATGCATGCATCTTCCTGAAAGAAAGTCCAAAAAACAGGTGTTTTCTTTACTTGACAAAGAGGGAACTGGGACACAGAAATTTACTGCTTTGCTCACACTAGGAAAGTGAAGACTGCTTTTTGCTCCGTAATCATTGTTACACCAGTATAGTCCTTAGGCACGACGTGGCTGCACCAGTGACAATGTACCAAAGCAGTTCTTTGCCCTTCCCTGGCCGGCCCAGGCCACCCTGGCGCGAGCACGTTTCTACCAGTGCAACGGCATCGTGCTGTGCAGGTGCTGCCTCCTGAGTGAGCTGCCGTGGTTGTAGCGGTGGTGCCCTCCGGGGTAGGCATATGAACAAGACGGCCGGGAGACAGGCCAGCTCTCCTCCCGCAGGCTCCCATGGGCTTTTCCCACGTCCGCTGCGCGGGCTTTGCCAGTGAGCCTGACTGCTTTTTACCAGCGTACGCCATGCCCTGGGAGAAGCAGAGTTTCTTTCGCGGCTCTGGTTCAGAGGAGCGCTGATGCGGCTGCCATCCCTTTATGCGCTGCCTGCAAAAGGAGGCAGCCTGCAAGTCGTGAATGAAAAGATGTGACGTGACAGCCAAAGGAGAAAGCTACTATCCGCGCTTTTAGCAAGAAGTGGAGCCTTTTTCTCAGCTACAGAAATGAATAATTTAGGGTATGTAGCATCAACAAATATCAGCGTGTGCAGGCTCAGTGCAAGACAAAGCCAAATACTGAAGCCAGATACTGAAGAGCCACAGCACTGCCAGCATCCGGACCCCATGTCACCCAGACACCATCATCCCTGAGCTTGCCAGTAGCAGAGGTGTGTGCTCAGCCCTTCCAAAAACTGGAGTAAGCCATTTCTAATGACAGGAGTCATTAGCCAGGGATACAACTCACCAAGGCCTGGGGTGGATTTTCTCTCACAGGAGATTAAAAAGAGTAATAATCAACCTACATCCTTTTGGCATTTACCTTTTTAGAATCAAATGCAAGGTATTTCTACAGACTCATTAGAAAATCAGAGCGGTCAGTTGCTTGGTGTTAGCCTGTGCGAATCAGGAGATGTACTAAGAGCTCAGGCCTCATGCTGGGCCTCAAGAGCGAGCCTGCAGGGCCAGGTGCTGGGAGGGCACCCTTAATTACCCTGGACATCACCCCTGGAGAAGCAGCAGATGACTCTTCTCTCCTGGTCCGTGCCAGAGCTGCCTGGGAGGTGCAACACCCTCTCTAAAAGCACATCCGCGAACAATAACTCCTGGAAATGGGAACATACACACTGCACGCACCCCAGCTCTGCTCTCTCAGGACCCATGTGTGTTGGGAGCCCCTGCTACAGACGCAGCTAACTCCGGATCTCCTCTGCATCCTGGCTCCTGCCTGGGGTTTCCTCTTGGAGCAGTACCTGCCAGCCCTGGGGTGCAGAAGCAGCTTGCATGGGGCAGCAACTCCCTCCCTTCCCCTCCTGGCCTCGAGTGGGGACCCTCATCCTCTGCCTGCTGTGGCCCTGCACGTTTTGTCCCAGGTGCCCCTGTCCCAGGAAGCAGAGTGTGTAAGGCCTCAGTCCTCTCTCCACAGGCAGCGTGAGGCGTCCTCTCCCTTGTGTTGCACAGAGGATCTGGGGTCGCCCTTGGTGGGCTAGGGCAGGGCAGCGTGGCCTTGCTTTGCAGCCTGTTTCTCCCTCTGAACCTGCTAGAAGGGAAGGAGACCCTTGTTTTCCCACTGGAGCTGCGAAAGGGAAGATATTCCTTCTTCTGGCTCCCCACTGTGGGGGTTTATTCTCTAGGAGTAAAGGAGGGCAGTTTGGCATCTCAGGACTGTTATCTGACGCTAATCACTTTGCTAATTCCACAGGGCGTAGGATCAGGAGCATTAAATCAGGGCAGGACCAGAGGGCTTGCCGCTAACCCAGCTTGGCTGTTAGGGCAGAGCACTCAAGGAAAACAAACAGCACCGTCTCCAAGTGCAATTAGAAAGATATCTCCCCGTCTGAAGGAAGGGGTCGGAGGAAGAGACACCAGGCCAGAAAAGTAGCTCACAAGAAATGCGCATTTCAGAAGGGGAATCAGAGCGGCCAGTATGTTGAGACCACGGCACCACAGCCTCCCTCACAAGCAGCACTGCCTCCAGAAACGCGGCAGCCCTGAAAAAAGAGGTTTCCAGGAGTTTCGCAGAGCTGAATGGAAAACAAATACAAAAACCCAACCAACCAAATGGAATTTGCTCAAGCCCTCACATGTGGCAGCAAACAGAGGAAGAACTGCACAGGAACTCAGGCGCACAGAAAGCAGGCGCCTAAAGCCTATCTGTAACACGTGACGGCAGCTAACATGCGAGGGACGGGGGGCAAACTTAAGGTGGAATTTCTTGGGCTTTCTCTGAACTGTCCATGGAGGGATCTGTTCTCGGAGGCATTTGCTACAAGCCCCAGGTCTGCTCCTGCAGTTAACGCCCGACCTCAGCACATATGCAAAGGGTAGTCAGCTGGAGGTCTAGCTGGAGGCCAGAGCACGTGCAGGATTCCCGACCTCAGCACATATGCAAAGGGTGGTCAGCGAGTTAGCTGGAGGCCAGAGCACGTGCAGGATTTTCCCCGTGGCACTTGGTCAGCATTTTGCCCTGTTTTAAACCCTCCCAGTCACAGGACTCCAAATCACACTTGTGACTTTCCAGTTCAAACGCAGCTCAGGCTTGATTTACCCAGAGCTGTATGTGATGCTGAAACGCCTCGTGAATGTTCAGAATTGGGTGTGGTAAATAGTTGGGGCAAGGGATGGCGTCAGGAGTCAGGACACTGTTCGTACAGCAGCAAGCAGAGTCTGCTGAAGTTTTAGCAGGCTCCTGCATGGTAGCATGTTTCCTTCTGCTACCTAGCCATAAATTCCTATCCTCAGTTTCACACGCTGCCCCATGCAGCCTTCCTAACGTTACCGGCGGGTATCTATCTCACAGGCGCGACACGGCTTAACCAGCAAGTAACATGCTGCATTTACAGAGCAGCTCCTAGTGAAGTTTTAAAAGCCTTTATTAAACTCATAGTGGGACTGTGAAGTTGCATGTCACTACTGTCACTTCATGCATGGGGGAAACTGAGGCACGGAGGCCTAAGGACTCTCCTAAAGCCAGTCCAAAGCTAGGAGCAGCGCCTAGCTGGCCCAGTCCCACAGATCCTCGTAGCACCTTGTCTGCTGCCACCCTTTACCTCCCTGCTCTGCAGAGTCCCTCGGGGGCAGTGACATTATGTGCTTTCAAGAGACACAGAGTAAAGGGGAACAGCGAGCGTTAGGGACTAGCTGGGAAATCAGCCTCCTTTCTTGCTGGCTGCACTCAGCCCTGCCTGGCCTCTTCCCCCGCTAACAAAGCATTTCTCTTTCCTCTGGAGTCTTTTGCAACTGGAATCGAACCAGTAAGATCACGCTGCTTTTCAAAAGCTGCAGCCTGACTTCTTGTATGTACTAGGGTCCCACACAAACAGCCTTCACTTTTGGACGCTTTTAAAATTCTGGCATTGAACGTTGGGTTTTATTTAAATACAAGTGGTAATGCTCTGTACCCAAGGGCTCCTGCCCGTCCAGTCCCCTTGCAGGCATGAGGCTGGGCTGGGAGGATGGGTCCATACGCACTCTCGGAGGCAGTCGCTTCGCAGCGGTAACATGAGGACTGCAACCCCGATTTTAGCCAGGGATCACTTAACAAAAAGCAGCCACCTCACTGCAGGCACAGAGCCACACTCAGGCTCCCAGGAGAGGTGCCAACACACTGCGTAGCAGCAGCTAGGAGAGCTTACAGCAAGGCTTTCTAGGATCACACAGAAGCGAACAATCACTAGCTTTAAAAATCACGCACGTTGTGCCAGCAAAGAACAATCAACAGAGCTCTAAGCCAGCCCTCCTGCTGCACGCTTTAAATGGCTGGAACCGCTCCAACTCCGAAACAGCTGCAATCGATCCCCTTCTTTGCCCCCCCCCCCAATCATGTGATGGTCCTGCCCAAATGATTTAAGCTGCTGGAGCCCAGTGCTGAGTCACGCTGGGCTGTGGAGTAGGGGCTGTGGGGTGTCTTGCCTGGTGGGACTGGTGTCTGCAGCATGAAGCAAGTGAGTGCTCCCTTCTAGCCGGGCTGGTGCGCTGAGGAGGACTAGGGGTTGGTACGTGTGGGTTTTGGGCTTGCTGCCGGAGGTAGGAGGAGAAAAGGATTAGCTAAGAGGAAATGCTGGGATGATATGTGATTGTAGGAGGAATGGTTAGGGCTGACCAGCTGCTTTTTCTCTTCCCCCCCTGCCCCCAAAGTTTCTCTACTTTATGTGACCTAGGGGGGGAGGCTGTTTTTAATGCCTAGCTACATTGCAACACCCTAAAAGCTGTTTGCAATTCACAATATCTGAATATCTTTCAACTTTGTATTTTCCTTTTGGAAAAATGCTTTTTAGGCACAGGTCTGGGCTAACCCTCAACCTACCAGCAGAGGAATCCAGGATGGCTACATCTACCCCTGGCCTCCTAGCTCTTCCTTGCCTTGAAAGGACCCACTCAGCATTGAGGCTGTGTGTCAGGCAGTACTTGAGCAGCACAGCAACAAAAAAAGAGCCGGAAGGCTGTATTAGTAGGTGCCCACAGTGTTGTGGTGATAAGCAGTTTAGTGACTAGGAAAATCTGACTTAAGCAGTCTCAGTTGTGGGCAGAGCAGGGAGCAGACAAGAGGATGAGCCCTGTTTGGGGCACAGTGGCAGTCCCAAGGGGGGCACAGTGCTCCAGAGCTGCCTGTGGCTGTCTGTGCTGGCACGAGCCAGGGAAGGAGGATGAGCCCAATTATTTGATGTAACTGACCTGGATTTACCCCCTGCCTTACCCACCCTGGGGCCCAACATGCCTTGGGCCCGAGTACAGGCTGCGGAGCACAGCCTGAGTTGTGCTGTCTGACCCGGCCAAAGAGCCTCCTCCCCTTTGTGGAGGTGCTCTGGCAATGTTAAGGGCTATTTCTGGGAGATGCAGCCGGGGTAGGGAGTCTGTGTTTTGAGTTACTGGCCTGCAGCCAGAAGTGGGCTCCATTAACCCTGCTCTCTGTGCAGGTGGCTCTAAGTCAAGCCACTTTTTTGTCTCCTTCTCCCTTGGAGACCCACCTAGGGAGGGGGAAGGACATGTTAAGTGCTGTTGCTTCTGTGCAAATGGCTCTGGTCACTACTGACTTCAAAGTACGAGCCTGCTTTCAAGAGTGTCCCTTGTAGCAGCTGCTAAATGCTAACCCTGGCCTTGATATACTTGCTTGAACTACTTCTTCCTCAGCTTGCATTGCTTCCCAGGGTGGGAGCCACTGCTGGGATGATGGTTGTGAGATGTGATGGGCTGCTAGAAGAGTTGAGCAGTTGGGCTGGCTCAAAACCCATGCTGTAGCTCTGAATTTCAAATGCCCTTGGGTCTGCCAGACCTGGCATCTGCCCTGTCTCAGCCCAAGCAGGGCTGGCAGGCCTGCCTTGGGTGGGCTAACTCCTGTGGTTTGGCCCTGCAGGGACTGGTGGTCACTCAGCTGGATGTCCAGCCTGGAGAGTGCATCAAGGTCAAAGGGAAGATCCTGTCAGATGCCAAAGGGTGAGTGTGGGATATGGGGCCATGGCTGGATGGAGTCCTAGGAGGGGCCACATGGGCTCTTGCCTCCCCTGCAGGGTGACTGAGCTCCTGCAGGGCTCAGCCTTCCTACCTGAGCAGCTGTGGCTGGAGCTGCTGCACGGAGGGGCTCCTTCATGCTGCCTCCCTGCAGCTCTCACTGTCTCCCCAGGTTTGTTGTGAACGTAGGGAAGGACAGCGGCACCCTCATGCTGCATTTCAACCCCCGCTTTGACTGCCACGGGGATGTCAACACTGTTGTGTGCAATTCCAAGGAGGATGGCACGTGGGGTGAGGAGGACAGAAAGGCTGACTTCCCCTTCCAGCGTGGTGACAAGATCGAGGTGAGGCCCTGGGGATGTGTGCAGCTCCTGGCACAGACCAGAGCACTGACGCTCCAAAGGTGGTGCTTTTAATGCCACCTGGTATCTCTAAGATGGAGAAGGGAGCAGGCATGGAAGGAGCTAGGCAACAGGGGAAGAGTTTTGCAGCTGAGCTGACTGAGTGTGTAACCCTGCTAGTCAGTGCCCAGCAGCTCAGGTGTGGTAAGCTCACCACTCTGGCCTTCCTATGCAAGGCACATGACCAATTAAAACACTGACCCACAGCCAAGTCAGTCTCATCCCTTCACTGCGGAAGTGTAAGGCTGCCCTTGGGCAGAGCAAGCCTGCTTCCTCTCCTTGGTGCCTCTGCTGAGCAGGGAGGAGACTGAGCTGGCAGGCTCTGGCCAAGCCACCTGTGGCTACCTCATCTGTCCTCCCCCTGTGCCCAGCCTGGAGGGAGTGGGGAGCCTGGCTTTTCAGTGGTGATATGTTGGTCTTCCTTGTCATGTTTCTCTACAGATGTGCATCTCCTTTGATGCAGCTGAGGCTACAGTGAAGCTGGCTGAGACAGAGTTCCAGTTCCCCAATCGGCTGGGCATGGAGAAAATTGAATACCTGGCTGTGGAGGGTGACTTCCAAGTCAAAGCCATCAAGTTTAGTTAAGTGCTGTGGCTTGTTCTGTGTTCTTCTTGCCACCTCCTGCACAATGAAATAAACCCAAACTTGCCATGGCTGCTTCCTCTGCTGTTTCCTGCACTAATCTGCTTGCTCCTGTGTGTGTGTGCGTGCTATGGGGGTGAACAGAGGGAACGGGGGTATATATCCCCGTGTCCCTATTTACTCTGTGGCTTTGTTGCTGGTCCTGAATTTGGGCTGATCACATGCCAGGCAAAGCATGAATTACTGTGAATCAAGCTACCTTAGCAGTAGGTGCTCTCTTGACTCTGCTTCCTGCAGGAAGTGGTCCCTGGCTGTTTGGTCTCTAAACTCTGGGACCAGACCCAGCTGCTCAGCTGTGCTGGGGAGGCTTAAGGAAGTGTGTTGTGCCACCTCTGTCAAAAAGGCACTGCTCACCCCTCTTCTCGGGGTGGGGACAGACGCAGGGCATGGCTTGGGCTCCTGCATACAGCTTTGCTCTCTGGGAATGTGCTCCTGCTCAGCAGGTGGCTATCTTGCAGGCTGGCATGAGTGGGGCACAGGAAGAGCAGGCAAGTTGAGTTAACTGCACTTGCCAAGGGAAGAGACGGGGTGTGGAAGGTGAATCCTGGACTGGGCCCAGACAGGCAGGGGGGAGAAACTGAGTAAGGTCTTGTGAGAGCATCCAGGTTGTTTCTGCTGCTTCATGAATTGCAGTTTCCTAGCACTTGGCTGCTAAGCTCAGGATGTATCCTGAGGGCTATAATCAAACAGTAGAAAAATGGAGGTATTAAATCCTGAAGGCATTAAGCGCAGCCAATTGCAGTTAGGTAGCAGGGGAAGTCTACTAGCAAACTACTCTTGTACTTAAAACCTCTTTGCTCTGCTCATGCAATGCCTTGGGGTGTGTTTGCTGTGGTTGTTCCCATCTGCCAGCCATGGCTAGCCAAGAGAGGGACTGAATTGGGACTGCAGCAGCCTTTGACGATCTCAAAAGGTAATGTAATCTTACCCTTGGTGGATTGCTGCAGGACCAGGTGGGCTTCCTGGGGTGTGGGGCTGGTGCTGTGGCTGTGACAGCTGTGGCGGTCCTGCCTCCTTGCAGCTCAGCTGGCAAGGAACTGCCCTGGTGCAATGTCTTGCCTTGGCCAAATGCTGCTGAACTGGTGGAATTTGACTCCCCTTGGCTAATCTCTTTCACTGCAGGGCTGTTGGGGGCCAGGGCTGCATTTGCTGCTACTCTGAACAGCTGAGTAGTTGGGCCAGCTGCTGGGGTAGGGGAGTATCCCTCTACAGAGCACTTCAGTCCATTTGAGAGCCTTCTGTGGGGAGGCTGTAGGCCTGTTGCCCTTAGGCCTACAAGAAGTGTTGCATGGCAGTAACAGTGTCTAGGTCTGTACTGCACCAATTACCCTGGAGCTGGCCCAGCCCTGGGAGCCATGGGGGAACCTGCCCTGGAGGTGGACCCTCCTGCTTTACTCAAGCCCTTTTTTTTGCTGTCTGGTAATCCCTGCTACAGAGGTCTTCTTACAGCTCTGCCAGAAGGGCTTGGGTTGTAGCTGTGTTTTGCCAGTAGCCCCATAGGCCCAGGCAAGGTGACTATGAATAGACAGGGCTCCTCCTGCTCACTCTCCAGAGAGTGTAGTTTCTTAGAAGTTAATGGTAGAGTTAGCTTTGGTGCACAAATGAGCATGAGGCTGTTCAAGTACCTGTGTCTCAGGGGTGGTATGTGTGTCTGGGGAACACCCTGGGGGTCTGCTTTCATGTCAGAGTACAGCAAAAGTCTCCACAGTTCTCACGTGCATCCCCCTCCCTGCACCTGCTGGGGAGGTGGGGAAAGGGTTGATGAAACCCATCCCCTGGGGATAACCAGAGCAAGGAAACCCTGGGCAACACTAAGCAGGTGGGTAGCAAAGCAGAGAGCTGCTTGTTCTGGCAGGACTCTTGGGAAAGGATATAGGCCCAGAGATGGTGCTGCTCATTGCTTGCAGCTTCTTTGTGACTCTTTGGTCCATATCTGTGTTAGTGATGCTTCTCCCCTTTGCATGCCTGAACTCAGCAAGCAGCTGTGAATGATGTGTCTCCTCAGCCCTGTTCAAATCCTTCCATCACTACTCTGCTTTCTACAGCCCCCTCAGGATGCCAGGGAGCTAATTCAAGTCCTGCTGGCCGGAGTGAGCAGTGGGTGCGTGCTGCAATGTGTCAGATGCCAGGTGTTGGAAGCAGGGAGTCTGGCCACCTTTCTGTACAGGGTCAGATACCCAGAGCTGCTCATTGTGGGGCTAGGGCAGAGATGGCATGTGTCATGCATCATAGGAGCCAAGGTATGCTGCTGGATTACCTCATTTGATAAGAACAGGGGCCAAAAGCTAGGCCAAGAGCTCAAAGGTGCCTGTGTGTGGAAGGGGCTATGATGGTGGGCTCAGCTTACCCTGCAGCAGGGAGGCTTGTCCATCCTGTCTCTGCTGGTCTGAGGGAGAAGCCCTCCCAATGAGGGAATTGGTCGCTTGCTTCCTCTCCTGGAGGACCAAGACTGCTAGATTCATCTGGCTTAGCTCTTAGCCAAGAGTTGGTGGCTGATGCTGGCTCTTAACTCTTGTCCTATGCATACTGGGTTATTTACAGGATTCACACAAAGGGTAAGACAAGTCCCGGTTATGCATTCTGTTATCAAATAACAGTCCTGAGCTTCATGCTACTTGCTCTTTGGGGTGTGTGCGTGGAGTGCGTGTGTATGTAGGCATGGGAGAAGAGAATGGCTTCTGAATAACTCCCTGGGGTCCCTTTACTTTTATACCTGGCTAGAGGTACATAGCAGCTTGAATGCAGTAACGTTTAGAGAACTACAAAGCCTTTCTGTTGCAGAGGGACAGGGGAACTTAGAGCTTGTCCCTCTGCCATCTGTTACTGGCTGTTCTCATCAGACTATGTATGCATCTGTCAGTATTCACAAAAGTAGAGCTGACTTTTTTTTTTCTTCCTCCCTTCCCCCTCAAAGCCCTTGTTGAGCCTGCAGTCCTCATTTCTAGGTAGGTTAGCCAGAAATGTTCCTGTCTACTATGCTCAGGACCCACGTACTGCCTTCTTGGGGCTGCTCCCCCTCTTATCCTTTCCACAACAGTTAATTAGGCTTGTCCTGCTTTCTAACACTGGCAGCTACCACTAAGGAGGCCACAATAGGAGAAAGGGTAGGAAGGAAGTATGCCTTTGCCAGTGCTTCCTGCCTCTGGAGTTTTGTTCTCTTATGTCCCAGAGCTATAAATATTCCTGTCCCTATAAGTGACACTTTTGAACAGGCAGAATAAAAGCAAAGTGCCCTGGCTGGCTCCTAGAGCAATGATAAGATTTAACTTCTGCTAGAGAGATCAGGAAAGCAAGAACACTAAGCCCTGCTACAGGCAAAGGGTCACCCTGAATGTAAAAGCAGGGCTGGCCCTTGCCAGCTATGCTCTCCTCCTGGAAATGCTTGGTGAACTCTGCTTTCCCAGTAGCCTTGGCAGGAGCCCAAGCCTTCCTCATTTGAGAAGAGGAGCAGAAAAGCATCACAACTAGCATGGTGTAAGGTGGGTGTTTTCCTTTTCCCCCATCAAGTAGTAGTCAGTCCAGCAACATGTCCCAACAGATGCCAAAAACTTAAAAGAAGCTGTCCCTTAGTCATCTGAGCCCTAAGAAAAGGAAAGGGAGGAAAAAAACCTCAGGTTCCTGTTGAAGGATTTACAGCTGCAGCCCCAGCCCCTATCCCTGGCAATTCATCAGGAATCAAAGCTGCACCACTTTTTTGCCCTGCAATGTCATACCTGGAAGACCTAGAAAAACTGTTCTGAGGCTTCATGTTACAACATGAATGCAAATAAAGGGTGGGTTTTTTATTGCCCTGAGACCTACGGAGAGGAGAGCAAATGCCAACTGCAGAAGGGATGAATGTGAAAACAAATGTGACAAAATCCCACGCAGGACCCAATGGAGTTGTGATGGGCAAGAGAGACCAGCAGCGTTGTCATCTCAAAAATAATCTCTCCCTCAGCTATTTGCAGTAACTTCACATGACAGAAAGAGGCCATTCAAGTGACTCTGTAGCTACACCAGCACGTGTGACACTGTTCAGTGTGATCGCAAAGAACGATGGCGGGACGTGGTGGAGCCCAGAAACTGCGCGGGGTGAGCGGGCAGAGGGAAAGCGCTGGGGAAGCTGACGGGCAGCCTGGGTTTTAGTGATGCGCAGGAAGACGGCCGGGTCCCTTCCTACACGAATCCCATCTTTCCCAGGGAAAGCGGCGCATTTCCAGCAACAGACTTGGAAGAAAGCACCTGGCGTCCTTCTGCTGTGCCAAATAAAAAGGAGACCTGCGCAACAGCAACGGGTGTGCTGCCAGCCATGTCCCTCCCGCGCCTGCCTGCCTCTTCCTCCCTTGGCCCCTGCCTCGCCCTCTACAAGCTGGCAGGAGCTGCTGTAACTCGTTTAATTCAGGAAGTCGGCCTCAAACCATAAGCCGTGCCCCCTGTGATCCCCTTTGTGGCGCTGCGCCCCGAAACCCTCGCCACATGCTTTCTGCTGTGCCCGTCCCTCTGAGGAAACCGGGGCAGTTTCTCCCCTCAGCGGCTCAACAGCCTTCCCCCTGGGCTGAAAAATGCACAAAATCACATATACTCACTGTTTTTGGGTGGGCGGCGGGCTGAGGTGAGTCCTCCAGGGGCTCCTGGCAGGCAGTGGTGCCTCCTCAGCCTGTTACCTCACGGGGGTGAAGGGCAAAATGGCGCCTGGCTGCTGCTGCCTTTCTAAAATGGTGCCTCACTTTTCCCGCCTTTTTCTGAGGCGAAGAGAAAGCTCGCAGAAAGCCGCGGTGGCATTCAAAACCCCCTTTGGTGCTTCCCTTTTCCACATAGCGTCCTTTCTAAGCTTGCTTTTTTTTTTTTCTCCCCCCCCCTCAATTTTATTTTTATTTTAGCCCAGCAAAACACCTTGAGAAACATTTTGGCGTAAACGGGCTGCTTTGCGAATGTGAGTACCTCGTGAGTCTTGCCAGGCTTTTTGCGTTTTGCCTCTAACGTTTCCTTCAGCCCTAGGAAAAACCCGAAGGGGAAAAAGCGCTACCAGCTCCTCCCGTTTTGTCCGAAGGATACCGGTCGCAGAGCATCCGATGGGCATGTGCTTGATCGCCAGTGCCAGGTAAGTGCACTGCAGCTCTGCCCTAGGCGGGTTTTGCAGGTAACCTTTACAGGAGATCTCGTGTTTAAGTTTACAGCCAACCAACCCTAGCAGGGAAACGCTCCTTGTGAGGTTTAGTCCCGAGAAAAGCGTCTGACACGGATTCCTTGGGACCACCCGCTGCCCGAGGGCCGCGTTTAAAAACAAGCGGCAATTCGGATGACCGGCTTAACACGGCGCTTATGTCGCGTGGACGGGCACGGCTGAGCAGGATGCAGAAGCAGCACGGTGTTAAACGTGAGGGAGGGTGTACCGAGAGCTATGCTAAAAAGAGTTGTTTTAATTTGCCTGTGCAGTACGGACAGCCTCACAGCATGTCCCTCGGCCTTTTCCCAGCGCCGAGGCCACGTGCTACGCGGTTGGATTACTCGCAAAGCCTGGCAACGCGGTAATCCAGCGCCCTAGGGCTGCAGCTGAAGCCAGGGGCCTGGCACAGATCTCGGCTGGCTCTCGCTCCTGCGAGATCCCTCAGACCCTGGCTGACCGCGGAAGGTAACGCTTTTAGGAACGCTGCCTTGCGGAAAGCCAGGTCTCGCTCCCTTCCCGCCGCTCTTCTGGTTGATCTCAGAGGGAAAAGCCAGACAGCGCTGGGTATACTGGTTAGTGGTGTCCCCTCCCAGTAAGTGAGACGGTAACCAAGAGTGAGGAATGGGGAAGGAGATAGCACAGTAATGCCTTTGAGAGGCCACCAGCCTGAGCCAGAGCAGCAAAAGAAGAAATAAACAGGGAAATACAGAGATCCAGGTTCCCTGTGAAGGGTGACAGCGCTGGGGAAAACACTGCGGGCTTACCTGGAGCGTGCTGACGTAACGTGACGCCGTAGAAGATGAGGCACCCTGTTGTTTTTGTGCAACGAGCACTTACCTTATTACTGGCAATGTATGTCAAAAGTGTAACTGCTTTGTCCTTACTAGGATTTTCCGTGGGCTAGTGAAGCTAGACAACACGTTTTACCCTGTGCAAAGGCTCTGCATCCTGCATCTCTTCCCTAAACCTTTCCCCGCAGAGCCGTGCACGAGGGCATGGGTCAGTGTACACTAGGCAGCTAAAAGCCCCTCAGGGCTGTTGTGGAAGGTGCTTCAGTGCAGACCCCCCCCTCCTCCCCCCCAAAAAAAACCCTCCAGAAATGGGTCCTGTACTAGTCAGCTCAGCACCTCTCCCCTGTATGCTGCCTTCTCACCATCTGTGTTTTTGTTAATGGCTCCTCCTATCTCTTCCTTGTGAGAAATCACCCGAGGAAGCACATCAGCAGAAACTCAATGGCCTTGTGCATATATATCTGAGTGCAAAAATACACTTAGACTGGGAGGAGGGAATTTCCCAAGGCACCAGGGAAAGGCCAGCTGCATCTCCTGCCTGCAAACAAAGCCGGCGCAAGATGTACGGAGGTTGGCTTATCTCTCCGCTCTTCTCCTGCCGGCCCCCAGATACGCGGTGCTTAGTGCTACTCCAGGCTGTGTGCTGGGAAACGCACGACAACAAGGGAGGGAAAGGATTGCTAGACACTGCTACCTCTGGGGAGTAAAGTCAGCACTTGTAGCTATTCTGAAACTGGTCAGAAGTCCCATTAAAATTTGCATTTTACTCTTTTTACAAGTCAAAAACACTTCAGCTCCTAAAATTGCTCTAGGCACATATGAATGTTGTTATTTAACAAAACTAACGCACCTTTAACATGCTGAGCTTTGTTCTCAATTCTCCTTAGTTCCAGTATCCCCCAATAGATGTCTTAATCATGAAAATGCTCATTTTTAGCAAACGCGTCCAGTGAGAACCACTGTTGGTGGCAAGAGAGGTTTGATCAATTTGTTTTTTATGCACTCTAATTTTTAGCCCCAGCTGCAGTTGCAGAGGGAAGTGTCCTGGCTCTGGATGCTTGGGGCAGTGCATGCTGGGGAGGAGGCAGCGATGCAAATCATGCTCACTGCATCTAACTTACTGGTTTTCTCCACTGCAGGCCCATATCTATAGTTTCAGGTCTTAAAAAAAAAAAACTCATGTAGGCATATCTAAAGTTGAGATTAGTTCCAGTAAGTTAAGGATGCCTAGACAATAACTGCCTGTGATGCTTCTGTCCCATGAAAGCATGTCATTACTCTGTGATGTTATACCTGGCTTTTCTGCTGTATTCTTAAAACTAGTGTAAGATAAAGAGCAATCAATTGGTTTCCCTTTTTGCCAAAGGTGCTTAGGAGTAAATCTACTGCCTTGATCAATGTTTAATTTCTGTCAAATACCTGTCACATGTGCTTCTGCCCCTCCTCAGCAAACCCTGCAGTCCTGCTCCCTGCAGGAGCCATTTTTGAATACAGCTGTGCAAAGCCTGTTTCCCTGATAATAAACTTAACACATCTTACAACAGAAATAGGGGCTTTAAATTGTTTTCACCTGAAGAGCTAAGCTGTATAAAAATGTAAGTAACTATCACTTGCCTCATTAGCAGATGCTTGTGTGTGCAGTGGTAGCACATGCAGGACTTTCAAAAAAACCCGAACTTGGTGGACTGCAGAGCTGTGCCAAACATCTGAATTTCTTGTAAACCACCATGAACCCATAACCTCAAGTTTTTTTAGCTGGAAGCCCTACAAAAGAAAGTTTTACAAACTATTTAGTAAAGCCTTATATACCACTGCCACAAGGCTGGCTGACTGCCCGCTGCTTGGAAATGCTTGACTTGCAGTGTAACTCCAGCATGGAGAGTTTGGAAAGAGCGGTGTTACCGCATGCAGTGCAGGCAGGTGAGGGTGGCATGACCCCTTGGGTGGCACAGCCTGGGGCCCTGACCCTGAAATGGGTGCTGGTTCACCCTGGGCTCAGGGAGCAAAGC